GGATAAATGCCTAGTAGTGCAATTGCTGGGTCGTAGGCTAGTTCTATTTTTGGTTTCTTGAGGAACCTACATACTGTTTTCCAGAGTGGCTGCACCAGCTTGCATTCCCATCACCTCATTTTAAAAATCTTAATCTAAATCCTAGCCCTCCTCTACCTGCCACTCTCTCTGGGACCATTCTTCCTCCCTAGTCTTACTGTCCCCAGACTACAGAATAAAGAGAACTACTGGATTATTCTTTGAATCTTTGAAAATCATGATAAGGGACAGAATCTAGGTAGATAGTAAGTACTTAACTAGATGTTAACACTCTGAGGCTTGAAAACCACTATATTAAATGAAAATGTTTGATATAGGTGGTAATAGGCCAGAAAAATCCCCGCTCCCACATGAGCCCCCGCCACCTTTGCGCTTTCTGGGGCTTATTCTTTTCTTGCCCTCCAGATGCCTGGGCCATAGCCCTAGAAGGTAACATGCAAAGGAGCTTGGGCCCAATGGACCAAAAGACTAGGCAGAGCTGTAAAAAACGTTGGAGGCCCATTTCATATTTGAAGTGTTTCCAAAATTTCCATTAACATCAGGGTTTTTTGTTTGTTTGTTTGTTTGTTTGCCTAGGCTGTTCCTTCAAGTAGAAATGGAGAGATGGGTACAAAGAAAGGAATGTAAGGTAGGATCAGGGCTGAGACTTGAACCTGGATGTTTAGTTTCCCAGCTAAACCGTGTTTTTCTTTCCTCTCCTCATAGTCCCTAGAAAACCATCTATAGTCTATGATGCATAGACTATATGCAATCTATGAGTGCATATAAACCGTTTTGTATAACTGCATGGCTAGCAGAATTATCTGGAATGTATTGCTCCACTTTGAAAGGATATTAATAGAAGTGATATTGATACTTATGTGCCAAATCCTGGGCATTTAAAAAAAATTTTTTTTACACTTAATTCATTTTTGAGAGACAAAGACAGAGCACAAGCAGGGGAGGGGCAGAGAGAGAGGGAGACACAGAATCTGAAGCAGGCTCCAGGTTCTGAGCTGTCAGCACAGAGCCTGACATGGGGCTCAAACTCACAAACCGCAAGATCATGACCTGAGCTTAAGTCAGACGCTTAACTGACTGAGCCACCCAGGCACCGGCCCACCTGTCCCACCCCGCTCCTGGGCATTTTACCTGGAATACCTCTACGGCTTCTAAACTCCGGAAATATTACTGTTCTCAAACCTTTAAAAGACTCACACCGTATCACAAGGGTGCTTAGTAAATATGTGGTAATAGGGACTAGTCGTTACAATCACTGAGCCCTTTGTAACTTCCTCTTCTGGATTACAGAATCCGTTTTAGTCAGTCATTTTAATGTACTTGTAATGTACATCCTTGGTCAGTAGGTGGTGCCATGAACCCATCTGTGGTTTAAGGCTTGCCTAAGTTCTGAGCATCAATGGCAAATCCTCCATTTATTGTGGTTTCCCTGGCTTTTGGTGGATGAGAAGAGTGTGTGAGACTTTTAAGGAATGTACATTGACCAGGATAGCTAGGTGAAAAGCGGGAAGAAGAGGCAAAACAATCCATTATGCAATTGGTCAAGAAATGTGTCTGAGGGGGTGGGACAGGATCTGGCCAGTCCTTGGCAAGCCCCTAGCTGGGAAGATGAAAGGAGGGCTATAGATGGGAGTAAGGCAGCTATTAGACATATGACATGAGTACACAGGCAGGAGCCATTCTATCTAGAGGGGGATCTGGAGGCTGAGGGAAAGGGCAACTTGCAACACCCCAGGTTTTCTCAGTGGAGCAAGATGTCTCCAGTGGTTAGGGAAAAGCAGTTCTGAGGTTTTGCACTTCCTTAGCACCCGACCCTGTCTCTCCCACATCATGTACCCCTGCCATTTCAGAATCTCTCACCAAAGACGCATTGAGATCTCCCCTCTCCAGTTCCTTCGTTTGAGCATCCATGGTCCTTTCCTGGGGTATCTGGCACTCCTCTCAGAAGTATCATCAGCTACGAAAGGCATAAAGCTGTCCAGGAGGTAACCAGAGTTCAATTCAAAACACAAGTAGACGGACCTCCACACTGTTGCCAGATGAGTGGGGGGAACCATACGCAAGAATTGAAGATCATATCAAAATCTCTCAATCTATAGATGAGGAAAGGGGCACATGGCAAATCATTGGCAGAAAGGGGGCCAGAACCCTGGGATTTGGCCTCAATCAAACCATCCCTTCATTTCTGTACCTGTAATGCTATCTAAAGGAAGTGAATTGATGCTAGTTGTGTGATCTACTAAACTTCTGATTAAAAAGAACCTTTTGGGGGCACCTGGGTGGCTCAGTCAGTTAAGTGTCCAACTTCAGCTCAGTCAGGTCATGATCTCATGGTTTGTGAGTTTGAGCCCTGCTTTGGGCCCTGTGCTGACAGTGCGGACCCTGCTTGGGATTCTCTCTCTCTTCTTCTCTCTCTCTCTAAATAAATACAACTTAAGAAAAAAGAACCTTTTAAAGGCCTGTTTTAGAGTTTTAAAAAACACTTGCTAATATCTTTCATGTCAGTGACCATTGATATTATTCCTGGTCACTGAAAAGTACACAAAATTGTGTCACAAATGATGTTTAGCTAGCCACGCACTTTAACCAAAAAGAACCACGTGAAAAAGAAAAACCAAGCTCTAAGAATTAAATTCTGACTCCAGCTCTCCTCCTAATTTTTAGGCACTTCCTGCTTCCTTCCACATGACTCATTTTCACTATGACACTGATAAGAGCAGGAAGGCCTGGTAAAGATTTGTGAGCACATTTTTTTTCAAATTGTCTCTATAAGGTGGCTCTAAAATGTGAACATGCAGAGGCAAGAGATAGGGTCTATTTCGGTTTTAGATATTTAATTTGTTTTGCTGCTGAATCAGTAAACAGTACCAATGAAGAAGATCCAGGAGGCCGACTGGTGCAGGTTATCTACAATATAAAATCCCACCCTTCTGTGGCCCCCTCTTTGTTCAGTTCTTGGCTCCATCATCTATCTAGAAAATTCTTGGTGTCACGAATATGATGAGTCTAGACAGTCTCTAGAATACAAACTTCTGAGTCTGCAGACTCCTGCTGTCCTGGGATGAGCTGATTTACATGATGAAAACGATTATTACAGGGGCGCCTGGGTGGCTCAGTTGGTTAAGCATCCAAATCTTGATCTCGGCTCAGGTCACGACCTCATGGTTTGTGGGATCGAGCTCCACATCAGGTTCTGGGCTGAGTGTGGAACCTGCTTGGGAATCTCTGTCTCCCTCGCTCTCTGCCCCTCCCCCACCCATGCCTTCTCTCTCAAAATAAATAAACAAAAAAAAAAGAAAATGATCATTATAGAACATGACTGCAAGAACTCTGTAAGGGATAGGACTTTGCAAAGAAGACGATGACACATTTTTATATAAATTATCTTTATTTCTGTAGCATACAAAAGATATAAATATGATTTATGTAAAACCAATCAGCTGCACGCTTAAGCAGAAAGTACAAGGAGCTGGGGGATAGATGTCTCTGAGCTGAACAGAGAGGAGGAAGCAGGATTAGATCCAGTAGTCCCATCAGGCTCCCTTTCCCCAGACACTGTCATATACGCAACTGGAGAGAAGTGAACAGCTTTCTGTTTTCAACAAGGGTTGATCGGACAGTCCATCAGGACGGTGGTGCCAGAGGCCTGAAGGGCTTTAGGGCACTTCTATGAATGAGGCACTTGACAGGAAGCATGCCTGAGATGGAAACCAGCCATGTCAAAACCAAGCAGATAGGATTTGCCAGCGGGGGATGAGTAAAGAGTCTTTTCATCTCCCACATCTCTTTCCTTCCCATTGCTATTTGACGTGGAGCAAGGAACAACAGGAAGCGGGGACGAAAAGGAAGTCCACAGAAAGGAAATATGATGGACCAACAGCCACTGATCCCTTGCCCCACGCTGGCCAACAGCTCAGTGCACACTGGGAGTTGAACAATGCTGAATGTAGAACTCACAAGTTCTCAAGATTCAGATGCATTCTGAGACTGGTGAACTGGTAGCAAGCAGAGTCATATGGTTTGTTGGGAGGTGCTAACAATCTGAAAGACTTGGCAAAACTCTTATGATCTGTGAGGAAAAGTGATAGGAGTGTGATCTCTACCAATGAGCCAGGCTTTAGGGAGCTGATAATATTTAGGTTAAGAAGAGAGGCCCAAAGCTCCACCTAACAAGGTCCACAGAGCTCAGAGTCAGCTAGCTGGTCCTCACCAAAGCCTCCCTGCCACCTCTCTGCACAATGACAACAACAAGTTTCGAGATATAATGTTCTCTTACCTCTTACATGGTCTATAGGTGTGTGTGTGTCCCTTTATACTAATGGCTCCATGTAATAGAGCTGTAGGAAGCACTCCTGGATTGGAAATGAAGGCAACTGTCAAATCACCCTGTCTTAACTAGACTAAGTCACCCCTAGACTTTATGCTTTCAGCCTAAACTGAAATTAAGACAACTGCATACGTTTCTCACATCCCTGATCACAACAAGTTTGGCCACAGCCACTTTGAGATTGCTGCTGGCCGACCTACTCTGAGGGAAGAAAGGGAAGAGGGGGACTGTGACATCAGTGCCTTCCAAGCCCCACGGGGAAAGTAAGCTAGCCCCACCAAAGAAATACCACACTCCCTCTGATAAAGGCAGTGCAATGCCCGATTTATTTCCTAGTGAGCAGAACTTCTTCCCATAGGGAGGGTAAAGTGGCTGGCACTGGCTTCCCCCATGGGTACTTCAGGTAGGACAGCAGAATTAAGCCACCTGTGTGGACTCAAAATGATCACTGATGGGGGGTTTTCCCAGTTCTGAGGGTAAATGATACTCTGGAAACCACTGTCACCAAAACAAGGTAAAAGCAAGGCTTACTTAATAACAACAACAAAAGGTAAAATAAAAAAATTTTTAAGTCCCACGTTGGGCATAATACTTATTTGAAAAAAAAATTTTTTTTAATAAATTTTTAAGGGGTACCTGGCTGGCTTAGTCGGTAGAGCATGTGACTTTTGATCTCAGGGTCATGAGTTTAAGCCTCACGTTGGGCGTAAAACTTACTTAAAAAATAAAAAATAGGGGCGCCTGGGTGGCGCAGTCGGTTAAGCGTCCGACTTCAGCCAGGTCACGATCTCGCGGTCCGTGAGTTCGAGCCCTGCGTCGGGCTCTGGGCTGATGGCTCAGAGCCTGGAGCCTGTTTCCGATTCTGTGTCTCCCTCTCTCTCTGCCCCTCCCCCATTCATGCTCTGTCTCTCTCTGTCCCAAAAATAAACGTTGAAAAAAAAAATTAAAAAAAAATAAAATAAAATAAAAAATAGAAAAATCAAAAACAGGTGAAAGCTATATGGATGTAGCCTTTTCAGATCCAATTTATGGGACCGTTGCTTCCCAGAGATATGCATTTCCCACTCATATGGTGCCATGACCACAGGCCCATTCTGGAAGATGCCCAGGTAACTTACAGAAATATACCTGGAGCAGGGGTCAGCAAACTATGGCCCACAGGCCAAATCTGGCCTGCTGCCTGTTTTTGTTAATGATGTTTCAGTGGAACACAGCTGCACTCATTCGTTTATGAGCTGGCCATGGCTGTGTTTGCAATACAACAACAGAACTGAGCAGCTGTGAGCGCCTCTCTGACCATTTACAAAAACAGTTTGCAGACTGAAGACCGAAGGCAATTTAGGGAACTATCCCACTCAGGAAAGGTCTTCAAGAAAAAAGACCCAAGTATTTACTCATTAGAACCTGATTCTAGCTGTATATTTCCAAGCACAGGAAATCGGACTCTTGAGGGCACAGAATCTGTTGGGCAATAACTTCCGGAGTCGCCAATGTGCCCTGAACAAGAAGCTCTCTGTGCTTTGAACAGTCTGTCCCCCACGTTAAGCTGTGATCCCTGACCAGGTCCGTGAAACCCAGAGAAGTTGGGTGCATGTGTACATATACGCATGTGTATGCACATGTACCTATGTACACAAGCACACGTGTATGTACACATACATACATACAGGGATTACTCCCAAAGGGGCAGGCAGTCACTCTTCAGTCCTGGGGCAAAAGCAAAGGAAGTGACTCAAAGCTGTGAGTGAGAAAACTCAGCCCTTTTTCTTTCTCTTATTCACATGCTAGCTTGCTGTCAAAGCTGGAAAGTCCAATGGCAAAGGCCTGAAGTGCACACAGTGGGTAGTTGTAGTCCAGGGTGAACACATCATCTGCCACACGTCCAAACTGCATGACTATGTAGTCAGCTAGGAAAAGAAAGAAATTAGGACATTAGAAAATAGTGGGGCTGTACTGGGGAAAAGCCTATGAAAGATACAGGGAAAAAAATCCTTCAAATCGATAAGTTAATCACCAAGTCTCTTTAAAATGGGAAACTTTGAGAAGGATGGAAAGAGGCATTGACAAGAGTATCTGCTAACCATGAGCCAAGCTTCTATTACCATTCCTCTCAAATACAGACAGCAGGAGACCACTCATGACTAGCATGACAGGACAAGAGGAGGGAACAGTACAAGCTCCACGGACCAGAGTTTGAATGAGGGTCATTTGCATCTGCTTCCCAAACAGTGGTTCAGAAGTTTTACTCTAAAGGGCTGCCTGGGTGGCTCCATCGGTTAAGCATCTTCTGACTGTTGATTTCAGCTTGGGTCATGACCTCAAGGTTCATGAGATTGAGCCCCACATAGGACTCCAAGCTGTCAGCACACAGAGCCTGCTTGAGATTCTCTCTTGTGTGCTCTCTCTCAAAAATAAAGTTTTTTTTTTTTTAAAAAGAAGTTTTATTTTAAACTACACTTCAATCTTTCCAAAGAAATAATTTCTTTCTTAAATAATTTTCCCCTGGGGGTGGGTGGGGGGGCACCTGGGTGACTCAGGCGGTTGAGCAACCAACTTTAGCTGAAGTTATGATCTCACGGGTTGTGAGTTTGAGCCCTGCATCAGGCTTGCTGCTGTCAGCACGGAGCCCACTTCAGATCCTCTGTCTCCCCTCTCTTTCTGCCCCTCCCCAGCTCATGCTATCTCTCTCAAAAATAAATAAACCTTTAACTAATAATAACAATAATTCTCCCCTGGGCAGAACTTCCTGTCAATGATAGGAAGTGCTCATTTCCCCACCGTGTAAGAGCATCTTTCCTCCTATTCCCGCCCAACCCTTCCTGCAGGCTCACGGTCATTCTCGTGGACTATCTGAAAGTTCTTCACAGATGCCTGAGTGACCCGGCCGTGGAAGTTCAGGACATAAGACTGTGTGTCGTCATTCCAGACTGGGGACTTGTTGTGCAGTTCAATCAAGTTTTCCATGGTTTTGTTCTGCCATTTGGAAAGCAAGCTCTCGTGGTCCTGTTGGAAGAGAAAAATCACTGCTTTGTACTGAGAACCACAGGAAATCATTCACTTTCAGCTCTGTGAAGTAGAAGGTAGAGTAGGAGAGTATTTCCTCCATTGCAGAAAGAGTACAACAGAAACAAAGAAAGCCCACAGTGAAGGCAGCTTTTACAAATTGTGGTAGATTATCTAGCATTGCTCTTGGCAGACCAAGCGGTTTCAAATCAACCACTTTCGTAATTCTGCTGCAACGGCCCTCATCCTGAGGTTCGGGACTGATCACTCTCGTGAAGAACGGTATGAGCCACACTCCACTTTGGGATTCTGTAAGAATCAATACTTTTTTGTATTGATCTCATCTGTACTGTATTCTTGTCTTTGAGGTTCTTTTGTTGATTAAATATGTTCTTACTTACATTTCGTGGCCGAAATGGGATCCGTTCGTGATTCATATTCATTCCTGGAATGATCACAGACATTTTCCTAGGACCTTTAAATCCAAGTACATTTGTTTCCTGGAAGACAGAATAAGGCAGGAATTTGAAAACGGAAAGGAAAAACACATGACTTTCTTGGGCATGTAAAATGTCCAGTGATGATGTCAAAAACACTAAAAACTATTTTATTACTTTACTGTAGGTGAACAAAGAGACAGAGTCAAAACAAGGAAGGTAATACTGTACTTCCTTTTAAACCTAATTTGAACACTTGAATTTAAAACAGATTCTATTGGCTTGAAACTTTATTCTCTTTACTCTTAAGTGAAACTTGAGACAACTGTGAGCACTTTCCAATTTTGTCCTCAACACAGGGGCGCCTGGGTGGCTCAGTCAGTTAAATGTCTGACTCTTGATTTCAGCTCCACTTATTATCTCACAGTAGTGAGATCCAGTGCAGAGTCAGCTAGAGATTCTCTCTCTCCCTCTCTCTCTGCCCCTCCCTCATTCATGAGCACATGCTCTCTCTCAAAATAAATAAATAAACTTAAAAAAACTAATTTTGGGGGCGCCTGAGTGGCTCAGTCAGTTAAGCATCCGGCCCTTGGTTTCAGCTAAGGTCATGATGTCACAGTTGTGAGTTCAGGCCCCACATCAAGCTCTGTGCTGACAGTACAGAGCCTGTCTGGAATTCTCTCTCTCTGCCCCTAACCCACTTGCTCTCTCTCTCAAAATAAATAAATAAACTAAAAAATATTTTATTTTTTAATTTTGTCATCATCAATAAATATTTATTTCCCATGACGACATATGATATACAATGAGAATTACAGCTTAAATTATATAGGGAATGTACCAGGAAGTAAAAACTTCAAATGCCTGTATCCACATTAGGAATATAATCAGTGGTATTGTAATAGCCATATATTCAGGACAGATGGTAGCCACATTTGTTGTGAACATAGCATAATGTATAAACTTGTCAATCACTAAGTTGTATACCTGAAATTAATGTAACATTATGTGTCACCTATATAAATAAAAAATAATGATCATAATACTATACTGTATATTTGCAAGTTGCTAAGAGAGTAGATCTTAAAAGTTCTTATAAGAAAAACAGCTGTAACCATGCGTGGTGATGGATATTAACTAAACTTAATAACTAAACTTATTAACTGAATGTGATGATCATTTTGCAATATATACATATATATAAAATCATTACATTATACATATGAAACTAATATGCCAATTACACCTCAATTAAAAAAAAACAATAAACTTAGGAGCACCTGGGTGGCTGAGGGTACAGCCTGCTTGGGATTCTTTCTCTCTCCCTCTCTCTCTCCTACTTTCTCTCTAAACTCATACTTTCTCTCTAAAATAAATAAAATGAAAACTAAAAATGAAAAAAAAAAACCTAAAAAACCTTAAATGCCTGTCAGGCCAGGCAGATTATATATGAATAAAATAAGCACATTAAAAAGGTAAATATACACGTTTGTATGTATACCTATACATATATACATGTACACATGTACATACATATATTTGGAAGTTATGCATAGTTAAAACATGTAATGGAGAAATGAAGCTAGGAGAAAAAAACACTATACATTATAAAAATATTAAGTTAGCCATTTAATTTCACAACATTTCATGGGAAATGATGAGATTAATTCCAATTTATGAAAAAGTTGTGACTTTGGGATCAAAGCAACAGGTTAAGTCAGGTTAATTGCTTCTTATTTTCTTTTACTCAATGACTTTTGAGTGCTTACCATGCACCGGGCCCTGTGCTAGTGGGGATGTAGCAGAGAATAAGAGTTTACAAGAGAAGGTTCGTGTGGCACAAGCAGTAACAAGTATAACGTGTAAGTTACTAGAGGAAGCACAGGGGCCATGGGGATGTATACATACAAAGGTCAACTCTATCAAATGGTCAGAAAAGACTTCTCCGATGGCATCAGTTGGTTAGACAAAGGACAAGGAGGGGGAAAGGAGAGGCTCTCGGGTAAGGAAAGATCACATGGTGCAGCAAGGCAATGACGGGGCTGTTATGTCTCCCATTATGGGAACAGGACAGGGCCAGGGCCGTTAGAAGAGTCTGGAGGAAAGGCCAAAGCATTAGGGCTTTATTCTGTATGCAGTAGGTAGTCACTAAATGCTGTGAAGCAAGAGAACCACAGGATTTACTGGCACTGTGTTTTAGAAAGATCCATCTGGCAGCAGTATAGAGTGAATCAGGGAAACACTAAAAGTAAGGAGAGATCAGTTTCTACTTTGTTGTAACCTCTGGCTAGTGGGTAAGAGATAATAAAGGACTGAGTTAATACAATGGCATTAGGAAATAAAAGAGCAGACAAGAAATGTTTTTAAAAAATTAAAAACAACCAAACTTGGTAATTCATAAATAATTAAAATGAATACACAGAAAAAACGATACCAGCAACAGAAAAGGGGGATCATAGAGATAGAAACAAGCTTGGGAGGGAAGATAGTGAGTTCAGTATTGGTTAGGTTTAAAGGGCCAGCAGGACACCCAGAAGATTAAGGAAAAGACTCAGGAAAAGAGTGCGTTCTGAGACTGGCACGTACGTAACAGATGGCTGCCAGCTCCTGCCGGGTATAGGCCTTCTCTACCAGACCCTGGGCCTTGGCTGGGCTGACACCGTGATCGTAAACTGTAAACTTGGTCCCCATGAGGTTGGATCTAGAATCAAGAGGAAAAAGTCGCCATTAATGATCTATATTTTTGCTCCTACACAAATACAAATCTAGGACAGGTATGTAACAGAGTGGAAGTCCATTTGCCTGTTCTCCAAATGTTCATCACTACTTTTTCAAAGATCACTCATTAAATAAGGAAGGAACTTAGATTTTCTGTTAACTTCTATGTTTTTTTAAGATTACAACATCAGTACATGCTCATTGCAAAGAAGATATGGATTATTTTGGGTCACCTGGGTGGCTCAGTCTCTTGAGTGTCCGACTTCGGCTCATGTCACAATCTCACAGTTCGTTGAGTTCGAGCCCTGCATCAGGCTCTCTGCTGTCAGCTCAGAGCCTGCTTGGGATCCTCTGTCCCCTCTCTCTCTGCCCCTCCCCTGCTCATACTCTCTCTCTCTCTCAAAAATGAATAAACATTAAAAAAAAAAAAAAAAGAAATTGTTCTAAAACAACAGGAATAAAAGTATCAGAAAGAATAGATCAGTAAAACAAGGCTGCACTCACCTGAGTTTGCCAATGTAACTTTCCCCTTCACGAGATAAATCTGTTGGATCAGTGGAGATAAGATAGTTGGATGTTTTGCTCTTTTTCCGCTTTCTACCTGCAAGAAGAAATATCTGGAAAAAGAAAAAAATGTCAGTCAAAAATGTCAAGAGAACCACCGTGGCTTATTCCTTTTTTTTTTTTAAGTTTATTTATTTTTGAGAGAGAGACAGCATGAGTGGGGAAGGGGCAGGGAGAGAGGGAGACAGAGGATTCCAAGCAGGCTCCGCGTTGTCAGCACCAAACCTGATGCAGGGCTTGAGCTCGTGAACCATGAGATCCTGACCTGGGCTGAAGTCAGGCACTTAACCGACTGAGCCACCCGAGTGCCCCATCCCATCCTTCCAATTCTTTACTGCAGCTGCTTTCCTCATATTCCTTTTTGTATCTTCAGTGATATGAATACTGTCGTATTTATGCATCCTTCCTAAATCCCACTAGACTTGGACAATGACAGGGAAGCAGGAGAATGGCAGTAGCTAAGGAAGGGACTTTAAAATCAAACACAGGTTTGAGTCTGGCTCTGCCACGTATTAGTGTGACTTGAGGCGGGTATGTCACTCTCTATGCCCCAGTTACTCATCTATGAAGCAGGGATAAGAAATCCTATCTCACAAGATTGTGATAAGGATTATAGGAGATATTATATACATGAAGCATTTAGCACATGCCTGATACAGAATAAACAATAAATAGTGGTTATAACAACAATGATATAAATCATCATCTCATTTCTGTGCTGTTAAAATCATCCACTTAGATCTGGCAGCAGCAATACAAAATACACTGTTCATTAGCAAGTATTAAATTGCCTCAAATTTGTATTTAAAGTAAATTAGAATTCCTAAAGTGAGAAATAAGACATTTCACTTGCATGCTGTTCCGTATTTCCACTTCCTCCTATCCCCTAAAGCTTGCTCTTTCTTCCACAATGTCATGTTCTACCATAATTAAAATAAAAACCAAAGAGCACACAGTAACACCTTCCCCCTGCCAAAAAGTTGGATAGAGGCGCAAATAATTACATTCAAATATTCTCCTCTACTTTCCTATATTCTGGATAAAACTTTTTTCTTTGGGGTGGAACAGATTTTGCCTATGAGACTATGAGCTCTTTCTTTGAAGACAGAACACAGCACCTGAGAGTTAGGAAGTACAATCTGCTTCCAGATGACTTAGTCTGTTACCAGTGCTGTTCCTCTATCCTACGGCCCTTCAACAATCTATTCCCACAACATTCTTCCCCTCTATTTCAAGGTTTGTCTTAAGAATCAATTCTTAGGGTGGCTAAAATGAACAAATCAGGAAACTATAGATGCTGGAGAGGATGTGGAGAAATGGGAACCCTCTTGCACTGTTGGTGGGAATGCAAACTGGAAAACAGTGTGGAGGTTCCTCAAAAAATTAAAAATAGATCTACCCTATGACCCAGCAATAGCACTGCTAGGAATTTACCCAAGGGAAACAGGAGTCCTGATGCATAGGGGCACATGTACCCCAATGTTTATAGCAGCACTCTCAACAATAGCCAAATTATGGAAAGAGCCTAAATGTCCATCAACTGATGAATGGATAAAAAAAATTATGGTTTATATACACAATGGAATACTACCTGGCAATGAGAAAGAATGAAATATGGCCTTTTGTAGCAACATGGGTGGAACTGGAGAGTGTTATGCTAAGTGAAATAAGTCATACAGAGAAAGACAGATACCATATGTTTTCACTCTTACGTGGATCCTGAGAAACTTAACAGAAGACCATGGGGGAGAGGAAGGAAAAAAAAAATTAGAGAGGGAGGGAGGCAAACCATAAGAGACTCTTAAAAACTGAGAATAGGGGCGCCTGGGTGGCGCAGTCGGTTAAGCGTCCGACTTCAGCCAGGTCACGATCTCGCGGTCCGTGAGCTCGAGCCCTGCGTAGGGCTCTGGGCTGATGGCTCAGAGCCTGGAGCCTGTTTCCGATTCTGTGTCTCCCTCTCTCTCTGCCCCTCCCCCGTTCATGCTCTGTCTCTGTCCCAAAAATAAATAAACGTTGAAAAAAAAAATTAAAAAAAAAAAACTGAGAATAAACAGGGTTGATGGAGGGTGGGAGGGAGGGGAAAGTGAGTGATGGGCATTGAGGAGGGCACCTGTTGGGATGAGCACTGGGTGTTGTATGGAAACCAATTTGACAATAAATTTCATATTTAAAAAACAAAGAATCAATTCTCAGGGTGCCCAGGTGGCTAAGTAGGTTGAGCGTCCAGCTCTTGGTTTTGGCTCAGGTCATGATCCTGGAGTCGTGGGATTGAGCCCATGTCAGGCTCTGTGCTGAGTGTGGAGTCTGCTTGGGATTCTCTCTCTCTCTGTCTCTCTCTCTCTCTCACTCTCCCCCCGTCCCTCTCTCCCACACTCACTCTCCCAAATAAATAAAAGAAAAATATTTAAAAAACTGTTTTTAGTGTTTTATTTATTTTTTGAGACAGCGTGAGCGGGGGAGGGGCAGAAAGAGAGAGGGACAGAGGATCCAAAGTGGGCTCCATGCTGATAGGCTGACAGCACCAAATCTAATGCGGGACTCTGAGATCAGGACCTGAGCCAAAGTCATTCACTTAACCAACCAAGCCACCGAGGCACCCCTAAACAAAACAAAAAAAAAATTTTTAAAGAATCATTTCTCATACCTTCCGATTTTCATCTTTTTCCAAGTGCATATAGTAAGTGGGGAAGAGACCCCGATCCATTCCTTTTTTATCCCTGGTTATCCGACACTTTACTGTAATACCCCGAGGGGCAGGACTATATGCAAAGTCCTCCAAATTCTCCACTTCTCCCAGCTGGTTATCACTTTGTTGGGCTGCAGTACCATAAGCTCCTGTATCCTGAAAGAACAGTCACACGTGAGCGATAGAGGTTGGATCAGAAAACTTGTTATTCTTGTCAAGAAACAACATACAAAATAATTTAGTGACTTATCCCTATGTCTCTAGTCTTCTGACAAAATAAAGGGAAACTCTGAGAAGTGAAATAGGCATATGAATATTGGGAATAATGAAGGAGCCAAGTACAAAAGTGGGATATAACTTCACAATAGCTGGCTTGAGACACAAGAAATTTAGGGGGGGGGGGGGGTCATGAACTTTAAGACTAAATTTGAGCTTAAATCTTTTGAAAGAGGGGCACCTGGGTGGCTCAGTTGGTTAAACATCTGACAGGCTCAGGTCATGATCTCATGGTTCATAAGTTCAAGCCCCGCATCAGGCTCTCCACTCTTAGCACAGAGCCCACTTTGAGTCCTTTGTCCCTCCCCTTCTCTGCCCATTTCCTACACGCGCATGTGCATGCACTCTCTCCTTCTCTCTCTCAAAAATAAAACATTTTTAAAAATCTTTTGAAGGAACCCTCATTCAGTAATCCTGTTTAAATATTAGAGATGCATTTGGGAAATAGTTAAATAAGTTCCAAAGGAAGAAGTTTCAGAACTACATACTGTGGTTGATTTCTGGCTGGATGCAGAATTGGGTCTCTCTGCATCTGAATATGGCGAATGACATAATTTCTTTCCTTCTTCTTCCCCATCAGTCTCCTCTTCATCAAAGTTCAAACTACCTGAGATACCTGGAAGAAAGGAAGAACTGTCAAAACTGCCAACACTGGTTTAAAAACTAAATCTTCAAATCAAAATAATTTTAATTTTCTTGCTTAAAACATCCCAGCTATTCTGACTTAAAATGTAGCTATTTTATCCAAATTTTGACAGCTCTTTCTTCATATTCTCACTCAGATCTATCCCTTGTTTTCCGTTTCCACTGTTGTCATGTATCTGATACAGAATTAATATCCAGAATACATAAAGCACTCCTACAACAATAGCAAAACAAACAACCCAATTCAGAAATAGGTAAAGAACATGAATAGACATTTCTTCAAAGAAGATATGTAAGTGGCCAATAAGCCCATGAAAAGATGCTCACTGCTAAGTGAAATATGCCAGTCACAAAAGGACAAATATTAAAAAAAAAAAAAGGACAAATATTTTATGATTCCACTTATATGAGAAATCTAGAGTAGTCAAACTCATAGAGACAGAAAGTAGAATAGTGGTTACCTGGGATGCAGGGCATAGAAGAATGGGGAGTTATTATTTAATGATATAGAGTTTTATGGGAAGATGAAAAAGTTCTGGAGATGGATGGTGGTGATAGTTGCACAACAATGTGACTGTACTTAATGTCACTGACCTGTACACTTAAAAATGGGTAAAATAATAAATTTTACGTTATGTGTATTTTACCACAGTTTTAAAAATTAAATGATCTAGGGGCACCTGTGTGGCTCAGTTGGTTAAGCATCCGACTTCAGCTCAGGTCATGATCTTGCAGTTTGTGAGTTCAAGCCCTGTGTTGGGCTCTGTGCTGACAGCTCAGAGCCTGGAGCCTGCTTCAGATTCTGTGTATCCCTCTCTCTCTGCCCCTCCCCTGCTCATGCTCTGTCTCTCTTTGTCTCTCAATAATAAATAAACGTTAAAAAGTAAATAAAAGAGGGGCGTCTGGGCGGCTCAGTCAGTTAAGCGTCTGACTTCGGCTCAGGTCATGATCTCGCGGTCCGTGGGTTCAAGCCCCATGTTGGGCTCTGTGCTGACAGCTGAGAGCCTGGAGCCTGCTTCAGGTTCTGTGTCTCCCTCTCTCCCTGCCCCTCTCCCACTTGCCCTCTGTCTCTCTCTCAAAAATAAATAAACTTAAAAAAATTAAAATAAAGGGGCGCCTGGGTGGCGCAGTCGGTTAAGCATCCGACTTCAGCCAGGTCACGATCTCGCGGTCCGTGAGTTCGAGCCCCGCGTCAGGCTCTGGGCTGATGGCTCAGAGCCTGGAGCCTGTTTCCGATTCTGAGTCTGCCCCTCTCCCGTTCATGCTCTGTCTCTCTCTGTCCCAAAAATAAATAAACGTTGAAAAAAAAAAAAACTTAAAAAAAAAATTTAAATATGAATAAAAAAATATATAAATAAATAATCTATTGTTCTCTACTACACCAGTTACTTTTTCGTTTTCCAGAATTTTGTTCATCTCTAAGTCTAGTTAACTAATTTGAGTTGGGAATGTTTGAAATGCCTTAGATTTATGAAGCATCTTTTTTTAATTTTAATTTTTTAATTTAATTTAATTTTTTGTTAAGATGAAATTTATTGTCAAATTGGTTTCCATACAACACTCAGTGCTCATCCCAACAGGTGCCCTCCTCAATACCCCTCACCCACCCTCCTCTCCTTCCCACTCCCCATCAACCCTCAGTTTTTCTCTGTTTTTAAGAGTGTCTTATGTTTTGGCTCCCTCCCTCTCTTTTTTTTTTTTTTCTTCCTCTCCCCCATGGTCTTCAGTTAAGTTTCTCAGGATCCACATAAGAGTGAAAACATGGTATCTGTCTTTCTCTGTATGACATATTTCACTTAGCATAACACTCTTCAGTTCCATCCACGTTGCTACAAAAGGCCATATTTCATTCTTTCTCTTTGCCACGTAGTATTCCATTTTTTATTTTTTTATGAAGCATCTTTTATGAAAAATTAAAAACTATTTGATTAAAAACTATTTTCTCATTTTATCCTCACATTTATATGAGTTCAAAGAGGAGATACTGGTAGTCTTTCTTGTTTTGTTTCTTGTTTATGGATCATATCTAGGGAGGAACACAGACATAAAATAAAGTGTGATGTGTGTTGTAAGAGAAGTATAGTACTCAAATTTATATGTGATAATATCAGGCTGAGGAAGAATCATTTGCCCAAGAGAAAGACGCAGAGCCAAGACTGAAACTAAATTCCCTTTTCTCTTTAGGATAAAGTTATCCCTCATATCCAAATTATGAATTTATAAGTAGACTTAAAAATAAGCAGTGTGGCTTTTTTCTCAAACCATTTCTGCTTACATTCAACCATCTCAGAGGACGGACAACTATGATCTATTCAGTTCGCATTATGACTTTCAGTGGCATGTTGAATAAAAGTGGTGAGAGTGGATATCCTTGTCTTGTTCCTGACCTTAGGGGAAAAGCTCTCAGTTTTTCCCCATTAAAGATGATGTTAGCTATAGGTTTTTCATATATGGCCTTTATTATGTTTAGGTATGTTCCCTCTAAACCTACTTTGTTGAGAGTTTTTATCATGTTGAGAGTTTTCTGCATCTATTGAAATGATCATATGGTTCTTATTGTTTCTCTTATTGATGTGATGTGGATTGATTTGCAAATATTGAGCCACCCTTGCAACCTAGGAATAAATTCCACTTGATTGTGGTGGATAATTTTTTAAGGTGTTGTTGGATTTGGTTTGCGAGTATTTTGTTGAGGATCTTTGCACCCATGTTCATTGGAGATACTGGCTTGTAGTTTTCTTTTTTTGTGATATCTTTATCTGGTTTTGGAACCAGGGTAATGCTGGTCTCATAGAATGAATTTGTAAGTTTTCCTTCCTCTTCTATTTTTTGGAATAGTTCGAGAAGAATAGGCATTAACTCTTCTTTAAATGTTTGGTAGAATTCTCTTCTGAAACCATCTGGTCCTGGACTTTTGTTTGTTGGGGAGTTTTTTTAAATTACTGATTCTATTTATTTTCTGGTAACCAATCTGTTCAAATTTTCTATTTCTTCCTGTTTCAGTTTTGGTAGGTTATATGTTTCTAGGAATGTACCCACTTTTCTGTCCAATTAGTTGGCATATAGTTTTTCATAATATTCTAATTGTATTTCTGTGGGGTTGGTTGCTATTTCTCCTCTCATTTATTTGAATTCTTTGTCTTTTTTTTTCTTGATAAGTCTGGCTAGAGGTTTATCAATTTTATTGACTTTTTTCAAAGAACCAGCTCCTGGTTTCATTGATCTGTTCTATTATTTTTTTTAGTTTCTGTATCATTTATTTCTGCTCTAATCTTTATTATTTCTTTCCTTGTGATGGTTATTAGGCTTTGTTTGTTGTTCTTTTTCTAGCTCCTTTAGGTATAAGGTTAGGTTATTTGATACTTTTCTTGCTTCTTGAGGTAGTCCTGTATTGCTATCCACTTCTCTCTTGGAATGGTTTTTGCTGCATCCCAAAGGTTTTGAACCTCTCCCTCTCTAAAAAAAAGAAATGCACAGTATGACTTCAATCTTTTTGAATTTGTTGGGGTTTGTTTTGTGGCCTAATATGTGATCTATTCTGGAGAATATTCTATGTACACTCGAAAAGAATGTGTATTCTGCTGTTTTAGGATGGAATGTTTTGAATACATCTGTGAAACCCATCTGGTACATTGTGTCATTCAAAGTCATTGTTTCCTTATTGATTTTGTTTGGATGATCTATTGATATAAGTGGGGTGTTAAAGTCCCCTACTAGTATTGTATTACTATTGATTAGTTCCTCTATGTTTGTTATTAACTGTTTTATATATTTGGGTACTCCAATGTGGGTGCATATTTACAATTGTTATATCCTTTTTTTTTTTTTTTTTTTTTTTTTTTTTTTTAAATTTTACAGAGAGGGAGCACAAGCAGGGGACAGGGGGAGAGGGAGACAGAATCTTAAGCAGGCTCTACGCTCAGCATGGAGCCCAACATAGGGCTCAATCACACGACCCTAGGATCATGACCCAAGCTGAAATCAAGAGTTGGACACTCAACTGACTGAGCCACCCAGGCACCCCTACAATTGTTATTATTTTCTTGTTGTACTGTCCCCTTTATGATTATATAGTGTCCTTCTTTTGTCTTGTTACAGTCTTTTTTTTAAAGGATTTTTTAAAAATGTATTTATTTGAGAGAGCACATATGAGTGGGGGAGGGACAGAGACAGAGAGAGGGAGAGTGAGAGAGGGAGAATGAATCCCAAGCAGGCTCTGCACTGTTAGCACAAAGCTTGATGCAGCACTCGATCTCATGAAAAGTGAGGTCATGACCTGGGCTGAAATCAAGATTCAGATGCTTAACCAACTGAGCCACCCAGGCCCTGTAGCCTTTATTTTGTCTAAATAAGTATTGCTACTCTAGCTTTCTTTTGACATCCATTTGCATGATAAATGTTTCTCCATTCCCTCACTTTGAATCTGCAGGTACCTTTAGGTATAAAACGAGTCTCTTTAAACAGCATATGGATAGGCCTTTTTTTTTTTTTAATCTATTCTGTCACCCTGTCTTTTGATTGGAGTGTTTACTATTTATATTTGAAGTAATTATTTTTTTTTCGTTATAAATCTTATTTATTTAATCAAGGTAGCGATAAGAGATTTTAAAGGCAAATATGTAGGTTTATATAGTTGTTAGCAAAACCTAGTTCCTTTAACATTGAGAAGTTTTGACTAAGTAATTAAAGACCTGATAAAAACAAAACATAAAGCTTTTTTTTTCTTTTGTCAGACAAAGAGAAAAGACCTTTGTTTACATTTCTTTCAAGAGCAGATCCACAATCCAAGAAAACTGCTTTTTGAATAGAGAGAAAAGTAGAATTTTTTTTTATGATTACATTTTTTTTATTTATATATGAAATTTATTGTCAAATTGGTTTCCATACAACACCCAGTTCTCATCCCAAAAGGTGCCCTCCTCAATACCCATCACCCACCCTCTCCTCCCTCCCACCCCCCATCAACCCTCA